TGAAGCCAATTTTTTTTTTGAAGCAATGAGAAGAAGTGAAAGTTTCTGTGAAACATCCAATAGACGTTCAGTTGCTGTTGGCTGTTTGGTTTTGTTGGTTTTTATTTGTTTGTTTGAGGTTGTTTTGTTTTTTTGTTTGTTTGTTTTTTAAACAGTAGGTCTGTGGTGTGGATCACTGATTCAGACCCAATGTCTCTCCAAAAATTAACCGGATAACTGGATGTTTAACTGGTATTGTGTTCACCTCTATCGTGTACCTTATCCACCAGCCGAAATTCCCTTCTCTTCGTCTCCATTCAAAAGTATTTGCCATACCATTCCCGTCTATTAACTCCCTCGACTGTTTTCCTTCACTTTCGCGCAACGCTACCTCCGAACTGTGGCCAAACTGGCTCGCATTTCTGGCAGTCGGGGCAAATTGGCAAGCTAGCGGTACTGGATGGCATTCAAATTTGCCAGAGCAATCAGCCTGCCACGACCAAAGTCCTTTTATTGGCACCGACTGCCAGGTAAGTGCTTGTATCATCATGACAAATGCCGATTTGGTTACGGCAAGAAAGAGAGAAATGACGAGAAGAAGCGAGGAAGCAAAACGTTCTGAGACAGGGTCAGATTGCATACAGTATGGGAATCTGGATATCAGTTGCAAACGTTTGTCTGGAAACATTGGCTATTGAGATATACGTAAAGAAATAAGACATCAATCATCTTAGACGGTTCCTTTTTGTTGAATCTCGCGTAGTGCCAGCCCAGGGTTTGTTGGCCGGGTCTACTAAAGAAAAACTGCTTTCATTGCGCAACAGAGTATGAATCAGCGACAAAGGCATGCATCTGTTATAGCTTTTCACAAAGATTGGGACTACTATTCTAAACTATACATCAAAGTTGTCGAATTTACACTATACCCCCACCCACCCCCCGAAAAAAAAATGACAACCAAACTTTTTTTCCACGAAAAAAAAGAAGGGAAATAGCAACAAGTGCGCAAAAACACCCCCCTCATTTGGCGGAAAAGCATACCCATAAAATGCTTAGTTCAGATGTGCATGCCTGACATTTTTTGCCTGTATTGTCTTTTGCTTTCTCTCATTCCTGTTTTTATTACGCCTCCCCGCCCAACCACGGACCCGCCCTTCCAGCGATCTATTAGTGTCTTGTATAGCGTTACACCTATGCAACAACAAACAAATAAAACGGCCTTGACTTGTCTGAAGAGTTTTCATGACACTCTATCCACTAAGCCTAGTCCTAATGGAGATTGATGTTCAATTAATTAGAGGTTCTGTCCCATAAATAAGCCAACTGTGTTATAAATGGAGTTAGACCTTCTGCACGTCATCCTGAAAAAGGGAAAGAATAGTTTAAAAGGTACGTAATACAATCGAACCTGCTCTGTCGTCCACCTGTCCAAGACAAAAACCGTTACAAACGACTACTGACTACTTCCCCCATTGTGCTTTTTTTATTTATATCATTATGACGACACTGTCCAAGGGGCCCACCTGTATAAGACAATCACTTTTTACCTCGTCAGTGGGTGGCCGTCCAGGACAATTTTGACTGCATTTAGAAAACATTCCGTTTGACCATAGAGAAACAGGCCATGTTGTGAAGGAGATGACGTAGAGAACGTTCTGAAACACTGGTGGGAATCTGGAGGGGGACAAAAAAGCACAATACAACATCACTCCTCCGGGTCTTTCATTTTGTATTTTCAATTTATTTTTTAAAAATATTTATGGGGTCCTTTGTAATACAAGCGGCAATCCTATAACGTAATCCCTTTATTGTAAAATCAATATTATTGAAAACAAAACGACCATAATATAAGAACACAACTCTAACTCTCTCTCTCTCTCTCTCTCTCTCTCTCTC